GATTAAAAACGTCCGTTTCCTGTCTGATCAAAGTATGGCGCTGCTCAGATGAGCTGACTGACTGCTGTGTGTGTGCCTGCCTGTGTGTGTGTGTGTGTGTGCGCCTGTGTGTGTGTGTGTGTGTGTGTGGCTGTGTGTGTGCCTGTGTGTGTCTGCCTGTGTGTGTCTGTTTGTGTGTGTGTCTGCCTGTGTGTGTGTGTGTGTGTGTGTGTGTGTGTTAACGTGTAGTCGCTCAAGCTCTGACATGCTTCAGGTAGTCCACACACAGGAAATGTTTACCAGGTAAAATCACATATCTGAAAGAGTCCTAATCACCCGAGTTTCTCTTCAGATCAACAGAGCCTCGGAGGAAAATGTGTGTGAGAGAGAAAGAGAGCTGGCAAAGATCTGAGCTTTGACTTTGTTCATTCAAAGCTTGGAGCCCAGTCTGCGTGTCTCTCCACAAAATCATACTATTTAGGCTATAGTTTAACTCAGTCTACAGTTGGATTCATTTTATATTGAGTTTCCCCTCAAATTTCTACTCTCAGACTGATAAAATATAATTAGTGGAGCCCAGTAAGATCATTTTACTCAAACCCAATGTTTTATTGTTCCTCTCTCACAGTGCTCAGGCTTAATCCGCTTTCACGCTGTCCTATCTCACACACACATTTAACTCTTTTCATTAATCGAGAAAAGATTTGATAGACTATTTAAAGAGATACTTCAGCCACAAAAAAATCATTGTTTACTCGCATTTTATGTTGTTCCAAACCCGTATGATTTACTTTCTTCTTTGGAACACAAAAGGAGAACTATTCTAAATGGAGGATTGTTTTGAAAAAATAAATAAAAATAAATAAATATTTTATATTAATTGACATAGGGACTGTCAATTTCCAAATAAATAAATAAATGCATAAATAAAATAATGGACATAGGGAATGTCAAAATCCAAATAAATACGTAATAATAAAATAATTTAAAAAACAACAACAACGTTAGTCTTGTATGTCAGGAATAAAAAAACTGTACGTGTCATAGTCTTAAGGCCCGTTCACACCAAGCACGATAACCATAAAGATAACGATAAAGATATAGTTCTAAAAATCGTTCTCAATATTAAAGAATAGCAGAGTCCACACCACAACTATAACGATAAAGACAAAGAGAAACGATATCGTTGGAATCACTTTCAAAACGATTTTTCTCCAGCTGATGAACGATAAAAAATTGAGAGCCAATCAGAATCCATCCTGCTGTAACAAGCTCAAAAATTTTAAGCGGCAGACGCATGTGCGCTTAGAATGAACAGACGATATCGTTCGCTGGTGTGGACGCTAATATCATTATCTTTATAGTTATCTTTATAGTTATCGTTCTTGGTGTGAACGGGGCTTTAGTCTTATTTGCCCTCATGTCTAGGTTTTTCACTCTATGATGTTCCATTAATGAAAATAAGTCCTACTGTATGGTTTTGGAGTGACATTATAGTCAATAAATGATGACATTTTGGACTGAAGTGAAACTTTTAGGTAAACTGTGAATAAAATTAAATCAAATTTATACAATTATAATTTAATTGGGAATAGTTCAAATTTAGTAGTTCACCATAATCAGTCAGAATTTCTGTGTTTGTGGCTGAACAAAAAAACAGATTAATAAATAAAACATAAGTAGTGCCACCCAGGTTTTCTTTCCGTATGCTCTCACTTTCTCAGCTGTGGCCTAGTTCACTGAATTGAATGTTATGTTTAGTGAGTTTCATATGTTGACTAAAGTCAGGTGTGCAATTTTTTTTTTCTTTGTCTTTTATGTAGGGATGCACGATATTGGATTTTTGCCGATATACGATATGCCGATATTTTTCAACTCATTTTGGCCGATACCGATATATTTCCTTTCGTTTGGAAACAACACCAAGTCTCTCCTGTGCAGAAATTCTAAGCAAAATATTTTAAATTTTGGTTCGTTTTTAACAATAACTTATTTGTTAGAATTAAATAAACAATAATGAAGGTTTTTTGACGGTGCATTGAAGCTTTGAAAATAACTATAAATAAACTATATATCAATCGCTGCATTTTTCCCCCAGAAAGATGCAGTGTTAACCCTAACATTTTATTTTAAGATTTAACATTTGTACATGGTCTACAGCAAAAGAGTTGTACAAATTCTAAAAAATCTTTTAGAGCTTATGATTTGTTTAAAAAATAAAACATATTATGCATTAACGAATAAATCAGTATATATAAAATTATTTAATTTACAAGTGTCATGTTTCTGATTTTTTTTTCATGTAAGCTATAGCTTCTGACCTTTAAATCAAAACATACTCACTATTTTATGACATCAATTACTGCTTTATTTAATCAGAAACACAGTCTAAATCTTATTTGTGTAGGCTATTTTACTTTTAATTTATTTAGAAGTAGGCCAACAGTCCCCCCTACAGATTAAAACTCCTTACTGAACGGGCGTTAGGACTCTGCACGTGCTATAACTGTTTACTCGATTTCACACCGAACGCATTCTGTAGGTGCATTCTCAGTTTAAATGCAGCTATTCAAACAGTCAATCTAATCATCATTCAGACAAAACTTTGCTTCAAGAATGAGCCACACTGTTGACGTGATCTAATCGCTAGCACACCCTGAGCACATGTGAGTTAATGTATTCCTCTTTATGGCAAGACATATCGGCATAATTTTTCATATCGGGCCGATGCCGATATTTACATTTAAAGCCATTATCGGCCGATTCCGATATCAGTCCGATAATAGCGTGCATCCCTACTTTTATGATTGTTGCTTGTTCTTCATTAGACTGTTTCTGTAGAGAGTCACACAGCATCATCATATAAATTAATTGTATGCCGTTTTTGTAAAACTTCATTGACTAAAGAATGGGGGAATCTCTAATAAATGGTTTTGTGTGTGTGTGTGTGTGTGTGTGTGTGTGTGTGTGTGCAGTAAATGTTCTGAAGTGATTTTCTCTGTAATAAATAAGGGCTGCTGATATTGTGGCAGAAAAGAAGCCCTTCTTTGGCACGACTGTAGAGAAGCTGATTACAGCTTTGATGTTTTGGCTTCATTGAGATGTCCAGTGTTATACTGACCAGTGATCTAGGAAGGGGCCCTCATCTTAATAAAACCCATAATAAGCACTCTGAAAGATGATGAAAGTAAGCGAATAGTTATTGTGCCTGTTGTGTCTCTGGGGTTTCAGGTGTACAGCACGTTCTCTAATGAAGAGTACGACCGGAGGAACGATGATGTGGATCCTGTGGCGGCGTCTGCCGAGTACGAGCTGGAGAAACGGGTGGAGAAGATGGATGTGTTTCCCGTGGAGATCGAGAAAGGTGAGGCTGTGTGTCTTTCACAAAATACACTAGCTCTCTCTGAGATCGAGTGATTAAAAATCAGTCATACTTGTGAAATTGGTTGATTTAAATTAGAATTGAATACCTCTAAACACCTCATTCTGCACCTCTGTAGAGTTTTATTTGTTGTAATTGACTTATGTAAGAGTAACATCCGTAATTTAGTTTGCATGCTGACTTTTCCATCTCACTCAACCTTAGAATTAAACTACTGTAGCTTTAAAGGTTTGGTCACATTAATGGGCAAAAATAGGTCCATTGTCAGCAGTGTAGAGATGAACGAAGCGCAGGTCAAACAAAAAAATTGCTCTCAAGCCAATTGGCTAGCCTCTTTGCATGTGAAATGAGTGGGGACATCCCTGCAAAGATGCTGAACTCTGTAAATATTGGTGGTCATATGTTAAAGAATTCATGTTTAAAGTCATTGTCGATTTTTCTGATTCTGTTTTTGGTTTAATTCCAATAAATGATCTGTTTGAACTGTACATGTTAGAGTATGTCTGCATCAGTTATTGCAAAATGAAATCTATGAAGACTTGCTCTCTCTTTTCTCTTTGTGTTAGGTGATAAAGGGCTGGGGATCAGCATTATAGGAATGGGTGTTGGGGCAGACCAGGGTCTGGAGAAACTGGGCATCTTCGTCAAGACTATCATGCAGGACGGAGCTGCAGAGAGAGATGGGAGGTGAGATCTTCAGATTCATCGAAAGATGAAACAATTGGACTGGCACTAGAGAATTTCTTACAACAAGCAGAGATATTCACTGTGGTGTTTTTTTATTAAATCAAAAATAATGTAAAAAATACTATATTGCAAAATATGACTGCAATGTAATTTAACAAATGTAATGTATTCTTGTGATGGCAGAGCTGAATTTAAAAGTACCATTTCACAGCACTGGTTATAGTTGTTTGTCACCAAAACAATTGGCTGTTCTGTCTGTAATTAAGTGTACGTTGATGGTTGCTTTATGAGACATAAATCTCAATTTTGAAAAATTGACACTTAAGACTGGTTTTGTGTGGTCCAGGGTCACATATGAATCAGTATTACTTTTGTCACTGTAATATCATCATGGTCATCATTGTCTGTTCCAGGATCCAGGTGAATGATCAGATTGTGGAGGTGGATAGCATCAGTCTGGTTGGTGTGACGCAACTCTTTGCTGCGACCGTCCTCAAGAACACGAAGGGAACTGTCAGGTTGGTCCTGCTCTGTCTAATATACTTACATTCAGTCTAGTTAGTTTAGTGTGTAATTAGGTGCTGCATGCCATCACCACAAATGTCATCACAGATGTCTGTCTTAATTTCTAATAGTCTTGTGTTGTCAGACTTTTGCTTATGTAATGTGGTCAACACCCCACCATAACTGGCCTTAAACACTGTACAAATAGATAGGATTAGACCATCTGACTGTCATGTAAAGTGACCTAGCATACAGTAGCTGTTGTTTTTACATGACGAAAGAGGCTTGTGGTGAGGCATGACACTTGAAGTCGGAAACAGAAGTAGCAACAGATTTTGTCCATATTTTGACATAAGATGGGACTTGATATCTAATGTTTGTTAATTGGATTTTGAGATGTGGATTTTGAGATCTGAATGTCAGCATGCAGGGACAGTGTTTTAGCAGACTGAAAGCCTGGAGAAGTTGGGCATATGCCACTATGGAGAAGTCTGTCATTTCACTGGAAGATTGACTTGGCAGTTTGATTGAAAATGACAACCTCAAAACCTGGTCAATACCATGCATTTGGAAAATAGATAGGGTGACTTTTCATTTCATGCTGACTTTAAATCAGTGTAATTACTAACTCGCATGCAATATATAACTACACAGTTGCTAGTTATGTAATCAAAAAACAAATTGTTTTTATTTAGTATATAGTTTTGGGATTGTAAATGCTCGAACTCTTTAAAGAGTTCACCCAAAAATGAAAGTTCTGTCATCATTTACTCACCAAATCTCTATGAGTTTCTTTCTTCTGTTGAACACAAAAGAAGATATTTTGAAGAATGTGGGTAACCAAACAGTTGCTGGTTGCCATTGACTTCCATAGCATTTGGAAGTCAATAGCATTTTTACCAACATTCTTCAAAATATCTACTTTCTATCTACTGTATACACATCAGGCCCCACAGATAATCATGGAATCTAAGTCAAATGTGTAGTCTGGAGTGAAATATACATATGTCTGCCCCAACAGTCCAAACAAAATGAACGATTATATAACCAGCGTTTAGCGTTTATCAGCTGAAAAAAAAATTATTCTAAAATTGAGTCCAAAGTATTGTTTCTCTGTCGTAATAGATGTGGTGTGGACTTCACTATTCTCATAGAATTGTTAAAATAAAATAATAATAATAATAATAAAAAAAGAACATTATTTTGTGTATTTGGTGTAATGAAATGTGTGTTTGAGACTTTAGTCTTTGCAACTTTAGGGATCTTATCTATTCACAAACAGCTTGTAACACTCCAATCGCATCATATGACCCCTTTAAATAAATATTTATAGTTGTAGTTCAATCATGACAACTCAGAATTGTTTTAGCATGTTAATGGATATGACTGTTTATGTATTTTGTGTATTTATCAGGCCAGATCTGCTACACGCGCTGCCGCAGAGTAGGGCTGGACGATATGGCCAAAATTGATATCACGATATATTTCTTAATTTCGGTCGATGCGATATAATTCCGATATCGATATGAACACTATTTAACTGAAATAGAAATCTTTTGTAACATTATAAATGCCTTTAATCATCACTTTTGATCAATTTTAAGTTCCCTTCACAGATACATTTATATAAAACACCCGCGACATTTTTTGATTTTGAAACGTGCAGTGCTCATGATTATTCAACGAAGTCAAACGGCACAAATAAATCAATGTATGGGAAACACTGGTAATGTATATCGGAAATGTGTTTAAAAATCATATCACCGTTATTGAAAAAAATTATATCGCGATACATATTGATATTGAATTATTGTCCAGCCCTACCGCAGAGCAAACATGGACTTGCTACTGCTAGATACACAGATATGCTGATGTGAGCATATAAAATATGCTGAATGAACAGGCATACATAAATCCTAGACAGGTGGAGCTGGGGGAGGTGGAGGTTTTCTGTGCTTTAGGACCAGCTTGCACCGAACACTGAAATTGACTATTTAAATGTTGAGCAAGCAATCTCACTGGCTGCAGAATCAGCAGTCTGCTGGAAGGTAGCTCTCCAGGAGCAGGTTTGGAGACCTCTGCACTGGGCTAGGAGTTCACCACATGCAAATAAACAATGCACACACTCACACAGGCTCTGTTGTTTCCTCTCTACCTGATGTCAGCAGATCAGTATACGTTACAGACGTAATCATCCTTGTTTCCGCCTTGCTCACCTGTCAATGTGCAGGTTTCTGATTGGCCGAGAGAAGCCAGGTACTCAGAGTGAGGTGGCCCGACTGATCAGCGAGACCCTCGAGCAGGAATGGCAGCAGCAGCAGCAGGTGGACGACACATACGAGCAGTCCACTGAAGAGGTCAGTCAAACACAACTCATGGGCTCTTTTCTTATGCCACTGCTTACGCATTGTACACGTTTGACTCAGTATCAGTATGATTTAGTTTGTTCCTGTGTATTTCAATAAGTAGTTCTGAAAGTCTCAGTGCATTTATTATAAATTCATAAATAGATGGTGTACCAATTTACTTGCTTCCTCAGTTAGTGCTTTACCTCATGATGCACAGTGTCAATGAAGAAACATGCATTGGTGTAGTTACAGCCAGTGTTGGGTGTGATGCATTACCAAGTAATTAATTACTGTAATTCAATTACTTTTCCCTTGTAAAAGTACAGTAAAGAATTACTCTTAATTTTTCTGTAATTTAATTACAGTTACATCTGATGTAAATGCATTAAATATGTATAGACTATAGAGCAATTCTTTATAAAACAATAGTGGATTTAACATGAAAATTTAACATCTAATGTAAAAATGCGCGTTTTAATGTAACCATCACCCTGGTCAGTTCAAGAATAATTTATGCAATTTTATGTTATTTATTTAAAACAAAGATAGACATGACACTGCTCTTTTATTTCTATTGTTTAACTGGTCGAGGTTGATTTGAAATTTAGAAAGTAATTAGTAATAATAAATAATGCAATACTTTTTAGAGAGAGTAATTAGTACTGTAATTTAATTGCACTGTTGAGTATGTAATTAGAAGCTAGTAATTAATTAAGGTAACTTTCCAACACATGCTCAGCATCTTACCAGCAGGGGCTAACTGGACCATGCTAACTAGCCAAAACGTGCCAAATTGGTCCAGACGTACCGTTTTAAGTTTATTTGGATCTTTGGTTGTCAGAGGGGTTTTAAGGTGCGTTCACATTTACCGTTGCTCTGTGAAATCCAGTTAATAAAAATCAATAGTAATGAAATCCATTTCAGTAAGTAATACAATTTTGGAAGTTTCGCACAAGAGAAGAAAGGTTCCCCATGCAGGTTTTGTTAGTCATGTGAAATCGCTGCGTTGACCAACCGAAAGTGACTTTGTTTGAAAGTGACTCGTGTGTGAGCTGTGCTTTATGCATTGCTATACTGTTGACAATGCACCTTTTTTACCATTTCGTCAAAGTTTTGCTAATTTGACCGCACGTTTAGACTGGAATCCTGCACAGCTGAGTTAAAGAAACACCTTCAGACTTTTTTAGCCATGCTGTATTTTCACCAGAACAGCTTTGTTGAGTGTTCACACGTATGCAAAAATATGTAAAAATCCACCATGTTGAATGAGGAAACAGATTTGTGAGTCTGTTCAAAACCGAAGTGGGGTTTATACCTGTTTTAAGTGCCTGGATCCTGAACAATTCTGAAAGGTTAATGTTTCACCAACGGTTTTTCAATATACTTGGGTTACTTTAATAAGTTATTTCCCAACTTGGCTCTATTTTTGGACTGCCTGTTTCTTGTTTTGTGCATTGCGTCATGTCTGTGTCTCTATGACAGGACGAGCACTACGAGGATGAGGAGGAAGGGGGAGAGGATGGCATCCTCGGTTCGAGTTTCGACAGGAGGAATGTGGAAGTGTACGATCTGCCCGAGAGCGAGGAAATGTTCCTGCCGTCAAACATGGACGCCGCTCAAGTGACGTTCAGATTTAAAGAGGTAACAGACTTTTGTGCTTTTCATTTCACTTACCTCTAATAGATTGCCATTAATGATTTCTGTGTATATTGTTTTAATTTAGCTCCAGATAAAACACACTATTGCAGAAGCCGAAGTAGATGAACTGAAAGAGAGAGTAAGAACTTATGAGCCTTCTTATCCATTTATATCAATCATACAGCAGTCCCTGTGTGTTTTAACTGATAAGGTTTTGTTGCTGTTGCAGTTGAGAGAGTCGTCAGAGGAACGTGCGGCGTGGGAGGCGAGGGAAGCTCAGTTAGAGAGGAGCGTTCAGGAGAACTCTGAGAGGATCGCTCAGATGGAGAAGAACTGGCTGGAGGCTCAGGCTCTCTGCAAAAGCATCAACGAACAGCTCAATGACACGCAGAGTCAATATGAAGCTCTGGATATAAAATACAGCAAAGCCAAGAAACTGCTCAAGGACTATCAGCAGAAGTGAGTGGTGACGCCAGCACTAAGCTTTCCATTAGTAACGTTTTACAGTTTTGTGACCATCATGTAATGTCTTAATAATTTGCATGGATGTGTTTTTTTTTTTATATATATATAGATCTAATCTATAGATTTTAATTATTCATATTGTTGCTGTTGCAGTTGAGAGAGTCGTCAGAGGAGCGTGCGGCGTGGGAGGCGAGGGAAGCTCAGTTAGAGAGGAGCGTTCAGGAGAACTCTGAGAGGATCGCTCAGATGGAGAAGAACTGGCTGGAGGCTCAGGCTCTCTGCAAAAGCATCAACGAACAGCTCAATGACACGCAGAGTCAATATGAAGCTCTGGATATAAAATACAGCAAAGCCAAGAAACTGCTCAAGGACTATCAGCAGAAGTGAGTGGTGACGTCAGCACTAAGCTTTCCATTAGTAACGTTTTACAGTTTTGTGACCATCATGTAATGTCTTAATAATTTGCATGGATGTGTTTTTTTTTTATATATATATAGATCTAATCTATAGATTTTAATTATTCATATCTTGCAGTCTTCTTAAAATGATTTTTTTTCTCCAGAAATCTCCACTTCAGTAGCACTTACATACATTGCACTTTCCAGTTGTATTCCTATCTATATTCTGAGTGTTTTCTTTACAGAGGGGTGTCTTCATGTATCATTTAGCCGATTTATATAACATTTTATTCCTAAAACATGGTGATAAAAACAGTTTTTTTTTCTGAGTTATGGAGTGATAAAAGAGATCTCCAAATATCCCTCTGTAGAATTTTGAACCTGACTTCATCCAGTGTTCAGATTTCTGTTCTGGAAATGTATGCAAAATTTGTGCATATTAAATGAGATGATGAATAATTTGCATATCTAATCGTAACATTGCAGAAATTAGAAACAAACATTCTGATTGGCTGGATGTGTGTGTTGCAGAGAGGTGGAGTATGAGCAGAGAGAGGAGGACTTAAGGAGAACTCTGGAGGAGAGAGAGGCTAAATATAAAATTCAGATAGAGGATCTGCAGCGCAGGGTGAGAATTAACACACCTCATTTGAACTGAGCTCGCACATAAAGCTTTCACCTTCTCTGATTCCTACCAATCAATCTGTCTCTGTGTAGCTGGCAAAGCTTGAATCTGGTCGTCATGAGTCTCCGCTGTCGGGCAGTAAGTCTGCAGATTCAATTCTGCTGGGTAAGTCAACGATCTCAATGCTTTTTAATGGCGGTCTAAATCCAAGAAGGATTAATGTGATTCTGAGATCATGCTGAGCCCAGACTGAAGTTATAAGACAATGGGCTAGTGTTCATATTTGCATAATTATACTGACAATAATTAAATATGCCTGCGTCAAGCATGCATCCTGTTTTAATAACAGTGCTCGTTTGCACAGACAGTTTCTTCAACAACAGTATTATGCGGACACTAAACCCAGCACATGAACTTTCCTGTAACTGTACAAAGTACCATTCTTGTTGTAACCAAAAATGAAACAGTTGTAGGTTGGTCTGAGATGGCCAATCAAATCAAAGAAAACAGGCTTTACTGGTCAAAGTCAGTTTTATTTGTATAGCACCTTAAAATAACACGAATTCAGGCCAAGGTGCTTCACAGTGAACAATAACAAAATAACAATCAATCAAACACAATAGTTTCAAAATTAACATCTGAATATATAAGACAAAAAAAACAAATATTAAATTAAAACCCATAATGGCGAATGAAATTAACCAATAAAACATGGCCTGAAGTAAGCTAACATAGCCAAGTTATGAGTAGGTCTGAGAGAAAAGGTTAGTTTTCAAGCATGATTTAAAAGCAGGTAGTTAAGTCTCCAGATGGTCTGTTATCCATTGTCAAAGTGAAACAGTGTTCACATAGAAGTCACTTTCAAACCAAGCAGATTTCTGTTGGGTCTACAGCGTATGCACTTGACCCTGAGCAGTAATTCATACAATTGAAGAGCTAACCTTAATTGAAGTTAACCATGAATTGCTCTCCAGGAGCGGACTGGAGTGAGGTGGTCCCTGAGACGGAGCGTTTGGACACCAGCGCCCATCGCGCAAAGGCCCAGCTGGCCCAGAGATCCAAACGGCAGCCGCCGTCCCGCAGTAAACTCAAAGAGACGCTCAGCTCGCCAGCGAGAAGCCCACAGGTCACACAGAGCTCAAGAAATTCATGAGCAATTGACTGCTGTAAAAAAAAAATCCAAAACATCAGTTTTTGACAATAACATTGTTTTTGACCTCAGGGTGATGATGAGAGTCAGTCTGTGAGTCCCGAGTCTCCTCCGCCTCGTAGGAGATCGATCCAGGAGAGTTTGTTCCTGCCGGTCGTCATATCTTCCCCTGCAAACCACCCGAAGGATGAAGGTTCTGTTACGAGCAGCAGCCAATCAGTGCAGAGGGATCCTCAAGACCCCGCCCTCTCCACCCCTAAAGACTCTTCCCCCTCCAGCTTCCTGCGGAATGTAAAGAAGAGAGAGTCTAAAGGCAAGGGCAAAGAGGTCAAAGCAGGTAACGAGCTGGATTTAGGATCCCAGTAGAATGGCGCTTTTTACTATAGACATGTAACTTCCACCCAGCAACAGGATTAAAAATACTTATTGTTTAGTATAGTTGTTGTTTATCAGGTATTTGGACATGGTTCATTCAATCATAATTTAGAGTTTACATAACAAATCTGAAATCTTTAGTAATGCCTGGCAAGTGTAACAAACTACAGGCTAATAATCAGTAGTCATTTGGCAAAATAATGGTTTTAGATTTTTTTTTTGTAACAATGTAAATATTTACATTACTTTTTTTTATTTAAAGCATGATAATTGTTAAAAAGTACCACACGTACCAAGTACCACTTTTGAACTTTTTTAATTGCGTCTACTGATAGTGCAAACAATACTGATGGCATTTGTTTGCACATCCCGACTGTGTTTCCTGACATAATTCACTAAAGAAATGTAAAATAAAGCACAAACATGTGACACAATTTGTGCCAATCACAGTTTGGATGGGACGATTTGCACACAAATGCACCCAAACTATGGCTGCAGCGGAGATATTTCTTATATATGCTGCCATAATCACTTGAAAATTAAGTGCTATCAATCCATGTTAGCCTGGCCATCAGATGTTTGTCTGTGTTTGTGTTCTGATATAATTCTTTTCTTTATTTCAGAAGAGTCTAATGATGCGGCTGGAAAAGCCAAAAGAAGATTCCCAGATTTTGGGTAGGTGCAAAATTCCCCACCTTTAGCATTTTAAAATGTAAGTAAATGAGCATCTAATTTGTTGTGTTCTTATCGTAAGTTCATTTTGGATTGTGGTGGTGTTTGATTTAATGCATTTTCTGATAGTGGTTTAAGGAAATCTGGAGGAAAGGGGAAAAAACTAAGCAAAGAAGCCACGAGGGCGTCACTGGACAGCAGGTACACGTGAACACACACTCACAAACGTATAGAGTGAAGACAGTTTTACACTTCATCTTTTGATGTGGATCCAAATCCGTTTGACATTAGTTGTCAGTGTGAAAGCGGTTTTCCAAAATCTGGTCCTCAGTTAGGAACCACATGTGTGTACTTTTTCAACATTTACCTATTGGTTTGTGCAAAACCGGCTAAACAAACAAAAACAAGTTGCCATTAGAATGCATTTCTCATTGCTTCCAGTACGCTGAGCTTGTATTTCCTCTCCTCATGTCTCAATGTGTTGTGTTGTAGGGGTTCAGCGGAGTTACTGGAGGAGTCAGGGGCCCGAGTCTCCCCTTCAGAGTCCATGACCTCCATCCCCACCTGCATGCCCTTCTCCTGGTTTGGAGAGAAAGACAAAGAGCGCGACAGAGAGCCGTCGTCCTCGTCCAGCAGTCTCCCATACACCACTGCAGATGCCAGCGAACACAGCCACAGCTCCAAAAACAAGGTGACAACTACTTCTATCACAGAGCACTTCTGCTCCAGGATTGATTCTCTTGCACAGATTAAAACTAGTCCAGAACTTTCTTCAGAACATAATGACCATTAATTGACTTCCATGCATGAGTATGTATGACTACAACTTTATTTATAAAACGGTTATCTTAATATGTGGAATGTGAAATCTTGTAATTTATATCGTCATTAATATCTTGACCCTTGCAGTTGTAGGGCTAAATAATATGAATATCTGGCACTTTCCACATATGTGACCCTGGACCACAAAACCAGTCATAAGGGTCAATTTCTCAAATTGAGATTTATACATCATTTGAAAGCTGAATAAATAAGCTTTCCATTGATGTATGGTTTGTTAGGATCGCACAATATTTGAAAATCTGGAATCTGAGGGTGCAAAAAAATCAAAATATTCAGAAAATCGCCTTTAAAGTTGTCCAAATGAAGTTCTTGGCAATGCATATCACTAATCAAAAATTAAGTTTTGATATATTTACGGTAGGAAATTTACTAAATATCTTCATGGAACATGATCTTTACTTAATATCCTAATGATTTTTGGCATAAAAGAAAAATTGATAATTTTGACCCATACAATGTATTGTTGGCTATTGCTACAAATATACCCCAGCGACTTAACACTGCTTTTGTGCTCCAGGGTCACAAATAGGGTACAAAAAGTGATTATATGAGCTGTTTTCCCTCTCTCTTTTGTTTATTTCTAGGAATAAACATTAAACAAGCACAAAAAGCAAACAAAAGTGATCAAATTAAGACATTAGATGTGCTTAAAACTTGATAGTATTCGTTCTAAATTAATCATACGTTACATAATAGTTCAGTGTATTGTTAATGCTTCTCACAATAAAAACGTGGGCTTTTTTTAAAAAGTCAAGAGACACCAAAATTATATTGTATTCATTAAAAATGTCCACACTACTTGTTAAAAAGTTTGGGGTCAAGAAGATTTTTTAAAAATGTTTTTGCAATAAGGCTGCCATTCATTTGATCGAAAATACAGTAATATTGTGAAATATTATTACAATTTAAAACAACCATTTTCTATTGTAATATATTTGAAAATGTAATTTATTACTGTGATCACAGCTGAATTTTCAGCATCATTCCTCCAGTCTTCAGTGTCACATGATCTTCAGAAATCATAATAATATGCTGATTTGCTGCTCAAGAAACATTTCTGATTATTATCAAACAGTTTCTTCTTTGGAAAAAAAAAAAGTTCAAAAGAACAGCGTTTATTTGAAATAGAATTTATTTGCTAACAGTGTAAACGTCTTACCTGTCACTTTTTATTAATTTAATGCATCCTTGCTGAATAAAAGTATTAATTAAAAAATAAGAAAAAAAATCCCGAAGTTTTGAACAGTAGTGTATGTATGGACGAATAATCTAGTGCTGATCATTTCTAGTTAAAGTGAGTCAAATGGGAGAACAAACCAGCTTTCTGCTAAGCACACGACAAAACTAAATAATAAACACAACAAATATCTGCCATCCAGCTGGACTTGCTTTAGTTTGTTTGTAATTGTGAGTTGCTAAGGAGGAAGTAGCGTGGAAATGTTCTGGGCTGAAGCCTGCAGCCATACGGATGTGATCATTCATCAGGCTTGAGCCAAACAGACTCGGTCCATGGGTCAGAAAATGAGTTCAGCAGCTCTTTGAGCCCTCTCGGTTTCATCAGCTCCAGCTGAAGCGCGTTTGGTAAAGCTTTCAGACAGTGTTGTCATATTATTAACCTCTTTTCCCAAACAGACAAACCTCTCCTGGTCTTCTCTGTTCAGTCGCTCCTTAGATTTGGTACAGTATATTTTCTCTTATGAATGCTCATAGATGTCAAATTTAATCTAGCAATGTAGTGAAACTCTAGCTAAATATCAAACCTAATATGTTGAGTTGTAATATTTGTAGAATCACATTAGTTTTGTTGAATGCAGTGCACTAGATGCATGATGCTGATTTGATTTACTCTTTTTCTACAAGTGATGTTTTATACAGGCTTTTATTGTCAAATCAATGTAGATGCATTTCACTGCTTATCTGGTTTAGTCAACACAGTCTCATGAATGCAGTGCACTAGATGCATGATGCTGATTTGATTTACTCTTTTTCTACAAGTGATGTTTTTTTTTTTCAGCTTTCAAATACAGGCTTTTATTGTCAAATCAATGTAGATGCATTTCACTGCTTATCTGGTTTAGTCAACACAGTCTCATAGCAATTCATAACTATTTTACATAACTGTTATCTCATTCGTATGTTTTTGTACGATCTACTTGCACCCCAGTGATGGTTGGGTTTATGGGTGGACCTTCATGCTTACTTTTTTACTAAAAATCATACTATTTTTTTTTACATCGTACAAATTCATCTGAAATCCCCACCTCATAAAATAGTTACGTATTCATGTGAGATCGGGTTGGGTTTAGTGTGTGTATCTGTCTTGTGCTGTTACAGTATGTTGTAGTTGTAGCTAAAGAGTAGTTGTAGGGAGGTGGTGGGTGACCGATATGAGTTATAGATATGCAATATTAATAAGGCTGGCTTGACAATTTTAATTACACAATTGTAATTGATCTTCATTTTGATGAACCGATTTCAACAACTCAATCTTATTTGAGTGTTGATTATTATATCAAAAAATAAATAGCAATTGAATTTTATAGTTTGGACATGTTCATTTTAACCTTTAATATTATAGTAATGTACCAACTGAGCATTGGTCGGGAGATTTTTTCCTTAACTTTACATGTACTGTAGCTGATACTGTATATAACCAAATGAATCGAGATCAAAATCGGATCGAATCGAGCTTGTGAATCAGAATCAAACTGATTCATGAAATCTGTGTCAATATCCAGTGTCAATACCTTTAAAGAGGTCATATGATGTTGCTAAAAAGAACATTATTTTGTGTGTTTGGTGTGCGGTTTAAGTTTAAAAAAACATATTATTTTCCACATACTGC